GTTTTGGAATACTATCAACTTAACAATGCAAGCAGTGTCAGCAACATTAATAGTGATTTACATTGCTCTGTTAAATTGCTCTCTAAATATTTAATAGTTTCCAAATTAGGACAAAAATATAAAAGATTTTAAAATATGTACCATTATTGAAAATCAAAGAAAATTTATGAAATTGTAAGACGAAAAATATATGGCAATCTGGAATAATACTCCAGTAGTTTTACAAAGTTTTGAAAGGATAATGTCGCATTGATGAATAGGAGATATGATTTTCTTGCGCGATTATTATTATTATTATTATATTATTTACTCATATAAATTTTTTATAAGTCATACAGTGCCAATAATTCATATGTTATACTAAAGAAATGTTGGCTTATTAATAATGAAGCTATCGTGCAACAGTATTGAATAGAAAGAGTATTTCATTATATATGTATAAATAAAATTAATAAACAAGTCTCATCACTCTAAGCAAGCTCGATAATCTATTTGAGGAAGGCAGATTAATTAGGTCGTCCCACGCTTATATACACAGTTAAGAAGAACATGTCATACGTGACATGATGCAACCTTGATTTCCACTTAGTTTCGCTCCAGATCATGTTAAACGTTCAGCTTTTGCGCTGCATTATCACTCGACACACTTTTAAATTGGTTTGAATTAAATATTATAATATTTATCTTCCGAGAATCTGTTTTCGTGATATACTTTGAAATTCTAACTTTTTTAAACGATGCAGTATACTCGGCTTTTTCTTTCTAGTTTAATTAATATCTACTAAATTTTAAAGTATCGTGTATAATTAAAAATTAATTTTTTTTCCTTTATTTATATTTCAGCGGAGAGCGAGTGCTGAGGTCCCGTCAGCACGAGCGAGGAACGAGCCAGGAGCGACGTTACAAGCGTAGTCATCGCCGATCGCCTAGTAGCGGTAGACAGCATGGGCATCGTGATCGTGATCGTGATCGTGCCCATTTAGTGCATCCCACATCGTCCCGTCGTACGCGCCTACACCGTCATCACGACTCATCATCACCCAGCCAGGAGCGACATCGTCATCGATCGCCGTCTACCAGGAGTCAGGTGAGTCTGAGGGACAATACGACACACATTAGCATCGATTATTACGCGCTCCTGTATATGTTTTACTGCGTTGCGTGACACACGATCGATGATCTACAAACAGTCGATCAAATCATGCTTTTTCAATCCCTGATCTATGAAAATATACACAGCAGATGCCTATCGTACTCTGTCGTACTTGTCAACGATGTTTTATGAAAGAAATTTTGTCTAGTTTTTTTATTTGGGGAAAATTCGAAAAAGTTTTCAAATCTTGAATCCACATTGTAAAAAAAAAAAGATAAAAATTATATATTTTAATATATTTGCCATATTTTAAAACATATATCTATTTTTTTCTTAATATATATATAAAATGGCTTGAAAATCATTTTCTTTATTCATATATACATGGAACGTAGTCTCTTTGAACATCTTCATGGAAATTTCACGGCAAACTTTGATAGCGATTACATGGTTTTTTAAAATAAAATGTTTATATTCTTTACTTTTAATCAAACTTTTATCAAACTTTTATACAGTTTGTTAAATTATGTTTGCGAAAGCCTTATGAAGTGATTGAAGTTTTATTACCATAAATACTGCGGTCACAAAAGGTCACTATCCATTAATGAACTAACTCTTTATGCACGGTATGGGGTTGAGCTAAGTTTCGTATATTTTTTATGAATTTCTGAACACAAATGGTAGCAATACATGCATGAAAGAAGTATGAAAAGAAGTCGAATACAAAAACTAAATCGAAGTCGAGAACTACGAAGAGATTACCTTCTTAGTTTCTAATTCACTTTTTGATTAACGGAGTTTTTCGACATATTAAACGTGCGAACTAGATCTTATATTACTTATTGAACTTTGTGATACATAATGGAAACTCTTGATGATGATCAATACGTGAAGCGTGAGGACGAGTAGGATAGAGGGAGAAGAGTTAGCGCGTCGACACGCTCGACCAAACGAGAACAGTCTTTGGAGAATCTTGTAGCGCAACAGGCATGAGTGTATACTCTGAGCGAGAATGCCGATGATTCTTCTTTCTTACTCGACGCCAGCTATTTTCGACCAACGACTATTTTCGAGGGGGACTCGTCACGCAGTTTCGCCGCGGTTTTAGTGCGAGTTTGTGCCAGATGGCCAACGCAACATCGTCGCCGCCGCCGCCGCCGTCATCGTCATCACCATCGAGGAACGTTACGCCGGCTAGCCGATCGGTTCACCGAAAGCGAACGAGAAAACTCCTTTGTCGCCGATTCGAAACATGGATTTAAAAAAGTTCTTGTAGATTCTCGACCTGTTTATACATCTGAGCGGAGCGCGTCGACGAAGTTGCCAATATCGAAAATATTTTTGTATCTGAGACGAACGAAGCTTCACCTAATCTTTCGAGAAAGTATCTCAATAGTAACAAATTGGTCTGAAAATTAGACTCTGTCTTTGAAAATGAGATGTTGAAGCAAAGTGCACCGATTGCGTTTCATCGCCACGATAGGAAAAGTCTGGCAGCACGATTGGCGGCCCAGAATCGTTCAACCTGGATTTAGAAATACGCGCATCTTGCAGTTGGCAAGATGTGCTTGTGAGACGTGGCGCAAGGTGTAGATATCCGAGTGAACCAGCTCTCGTTTCACGCAGCAACCTGGATTCTGGAGACTGGATCATCCTCGGCGGCGGCGGCGGTACTTTGGCCGACGGTGGACCACCATCGGTCACGTCGTCGTCGTCATCGTCCTTCCAGACTCAGGAACTGAGTCTGCTGATGCCTAGAAACGTCCCCTGGTGGCCGCGTCATGACTGGGACGCGTGGTTGAAGCGCAATGTCACCGAAATCACTAGAGAGCCCAACACGAAACTTGATGTCACTCCCGAAACTAACGATACATCGACTTCTGAGGTAGCGTCGAGACTTTTGTACAGTACCTCGATATTCGATATTAATTGTTCGAGTGTGTGTGTATTTATACGTGCGCGTTGTTTATGCTTGTTATTTCTGCGATCGTATGCTGATTTGAAACATTCCAATCTCTTTTCTGTGCATTGAACTCGGAAAATTTTACATCATAATCTTGAAATCGTTTATGTTTCTACGTTGAAAAAATTATATTCAGGAGAAAAGATTACCGGCATCGAAATGTTTGAAAAAGCAGTACCGATTAAATTGAGCGTAAAAGTTCATTCTGTTTTAACTATTAAGATATAAAAATACTCTGTAATCAAATTTCGAGAAATACAAAATTTTTATTAAAGATATTTTTAATGGCTTAACCCTTCGTGTGGTCACATCTCTTGAAAGTTCTATAATAGACACATATCAGAATTAAAATGACTTCAGAGCATCATTTAACTATCATATTCACAGTTTTTGTTCTTTGAAAAAAAAAAACACTAAATATACTTTAAATTTGCAGAACATAGAAATACAGCAGTTTTATAAAGATTTTAATGTTAACATATATTTACAAAAATTGCAAAATTTACAAAAAATGTAATAGTTTATATTTGAAAACAAATTTATTCTAATAAAAGAGGCATTTTTGTGAAGAAAGAAGTATTAAATTATATTATATAAAAGATTCATTATTAAGTCAAAGATATATAATTAGAGATATAAACCCTCAAAATTTGTTTGATATCAAATTTACCCCAATGATCACGAAGGGTTAAAAATTACGTCATTTCAAATATACATGTTTTTTTTTGGTAAAAGGGTTAACGTATAAAACACGTGCGTCCATTTTTGTTGGCTATCCGCCACGCAGTTACGGTGATGACACGGCACGAGCCTGCCGAGCTGATTAGCCGGCCAGGACTTTAACATTTAAGCGCGACGTGTTGGGTTTTCTGTATAGCATGACGAGCATGGCGCACGCGTTTCAGGCCATGGTTTATATTTGGCGTAGCCTGTTCTCGAAGACGACGACGACGCAACTTGGAGAACGAGAAGCGTGTGCTCCAGTACGGCGCCACTTCCCTCCATCTTTCTCTTCCCCGTTTTTAACCCAATATTACGGCCTAACCTTGGTCAATATTAGTAGGTAGCGGAAGAAACATACGTAACTCTTCGCACAAGCAATGGCGCTTCCGTTATTGCAGCGAGTGACTTAGGAGTATTTTATCGCGTTGCGATAAAATACGATCCGTTAGGCAAAACATTTGTAACAATGATCCGTATTGATTATGACTTCTATGGTTCTATATTCAGTGCGAACGTTGTCTTTAGCCTTATTCTTCGAATTTTTATTTGTATAACGATAGAATTTTTAATAGAAACAATTTGATTCTTTGAGGCTTTACAGTTGAGAAATATTTAATTTGTTCATTCCTGTTTCGGTAAACGAAATGTATATGCGTATCTGTATTTTTAAGTAGTCTGTTTTCTAAATTGAGCCAAATTAGTCGCTTCGCCAGAGAATATTTTGGAGATGATTCTGAAACTGATGCGGTGATATCGTGGGCGAGTGATCTACGCGAACAAACTGCGTCGCTGTTTTGTAAACGGTGTGTATTTATACCGATACTCGAACTTAAAATCTACGACGATAGGACGATATCTTCGACATCGCAACCTTGGAGACAACTCGAGCTTTATTAATAGTATTAGAGTCCACGAACCTAGTTCACACTAATTCTTTAGTCAAACGCTTTTGACAAAGTTTCTAGAGTTTAGTACTATTTGTTTATTCATTTCTCTCTTAATATTAGGTTCTCTACTTATTTATACATGGGATAAGATCATCGAACAGTTTTAATTCTCGAGTCATATTATTAGATCTCACTCGAAGAAATTTCTGTTAATATTCACTTGATTTTCTTAAATTTAAAAGTTAATAGAAATGTTAGCTTTAGTTGTCGTGAGTATATTTTTCCTTTAAATAACTTTTGAAAACTTAGTTTTGTCTTGTTCATGATTGGAATAATGATAAAATTTAGAAAAGAAATTTTAATAACTGGATAAAAGTTAACAAAGATAACTCTACAATTTCCTTCTTCTCTCACGTTGTTTCTTCTCATGATCACTTATTATTCTCTTCCGGAATCTTCCGGAGAAGACTTGTGCTGTAAAACTCAACGTGTTGGCCATTCTAATATCGCTATCTGTCAAAAACAGTACCAGTCGTTATTGAGTATATAATATTGGTACAGTAGACCTACTCTACATCGGATTGGCGTTTCGAAATTTCTATGTATGTCAAGGTATCCGGAGCAAGAGAGAGAGAGAGAGAGAGAGAAACAGACAGACAGATAGACAGAGATTGCGTGAAAATATGATGCTTGTGATGGCTTGCTGATGCGTTTTGTCGCGTGCATGTAGCAAGAAGCGTGCCCTTCGTGGATATCTCTTCTCTATGCATCAGGAAGCACGACGCACAGTGTTGCCAAGCATAAGCGTTCACAGAACTTGGGCATGTTTCGAATAAGTGTTTCGAGACAATTTACGTAATACCTCGCGGATCTCTCTCTTTTCCTACTTCTTCGTTCTCCTCTTTTCCATTTTCCACCTGCACTTTTCTTCGTCTTCCTCCAATTCCACTAGTCCGTTTCTCCTTCGCCGTAATCGCGCGTGCGAGTTACGCTAATCTCTCTCTCCTTCTCTCTCTCTCTCTCTCGTTCTCTCTCTCTCTCTCTCTCTCTCTTTCTCTTGGTTACTCCGTATCCGATCGCTCTTGAAGAGTAGTTTTCGAGAGAGGTGGACGAATCGTTCTCTTCGAAGCGAGCACACCACCGCTCCTTGGTATTTTTAGTACGACGAGAGAGTATTTGGCGGGGCGCACCGAGTTTCGCCTTCTCCTTCTCCTTGTCGTCGCCGTCGCCGTCGCCGCCGCTACCACCGTCTTGGTCTTCATCTTTATGAACGGCCGATGTTGTCCGTCCGTCATCGTTATCCCACTAATTGTCGTGGTTATAGTTTAGTGCTTTCCTCGGTGGCATTCTTCCGTCTTTTGTGATCGGCGTGCTCGCGCCTTTCCGCAGTGATGTATCTGCGTACACGATCGTTTCGTCAGTTTTGGTATCTTCGTATTCGATCGCTCTTGCGGTCACTCTTCTCTGGCACGACTTAGCCACTACGGCTCGAGCATCATGTCGCGCTGAGATTGTATCGCGAGATCTAGGACGATCTTGAATGTTCCGTCAAGGGTCGAATTGGTGGTTTTACGTAATTCCTGATCTGACAGTGGTTCCGGGCTAGTCCAAATGTTCATATTCGCGCCACGCGACACCATGTCGACCTCCCGACAGGACTCTGTCTCGCGACGGGGTCGTTTCGCGCGTTCGTCCACAACGACGAGCGTAACACAGATGCTAAGCGACTCCTGCACGAGTCTTCTCCAGAAGTTGACTACGAGGGTACGTGGAATGTCTGCACTTAATGACCGCGACGTCAGCTCCACGACGAGGCGATCACCTATTGTCGGCCGACTGGGTAACACAAGAAGTCGCTTGGAGGACAAATACAGCACGATTTTAGATAAGTATTCCGGCAAGAGGCACGCCAACGATTCGGAACGAAGCGCTCGCGGTTATACGCGGAAACAAGAGCGAGATCACAGCTATTACCATCGAGACGACAGTCCGTTTGTGCGCGACGACAAGACTCTAGAACCTTCGATGACTCGTACCGTCATCAAGAGTCCCACCAGCGTGCTTCTTAGCGAGAAAGCTTATCCCTACGTGAGCTCCGCGATAAGCCGAGAATCCAGACGCGAGAAGACGCCCGCCTATAACCGCACAGCTCGGCAAACTTTATTGAATTCGGAAGCTTATCGCCGTTACGGCAGACACAAGTCCGGACATGCGGAAACGCGCAATCGGAAGGTGAGACCGCATCGAAACGGCAAGAGCGAGCAGCTAGAAGCTCACTCGACGTCCCTGAGATTGTCCCGACCAGTTAAGATCGAACCATTAACGTTCATGGACAGCAAAGAGATCATGGTCGATCCGGACAAGACACCAGTCGCCAACAGCAATACGGAGAACCTCAATGACGTCGCTCAGAATGTTACGCGGAACGCGTACGATGCGTTAACAGAGGATGTGGATCCGGCGATCTCGAATCGCGCGGCCAAGCGAAAGGAGATACAAAGTTTAATTCTGAAGTACGCTGCCATGGAAGACACCTATAGTAAATTGGCAGCTGGCGGACAGGCGAGCGTATTGCCCAGCACGACGGATCTCATCGCCAGCAAATACAAGAAGACCAATCACCACAGCAACCAGAAAGACGACGCATCCAAGGGCACAGTAGCCCCGGGTAGCGCGAGCGCGATTAGCGAGGTGGACACGATCCACGACGCGATCGTAAGTTGTCGAGCCATGGGTTGCCCGGATTGCGCGATCTCGCGAAAGCGGCGCCGTTTTAAGCAGAGCGTGTCAGTTGCCGCTGTTGTCTTGTCTTCCTCATTCTTGCCTCTGTTTGTGTGTGTGTGTGTATTTATTTGCAGACGCGCGTATACAACTCGTGTGAAATCCCTTTCCGCCCTAGCACTCCCTAGATTCATGCTGACTGACACGTATGTTTCGCGAGCTCGTTGAAAAGCCTATTAACCGTAGTAATCTTCGTCTCTCCGATAAGCTAAACACTGCACGTCTGCCAATGTTTGCCGTGAGAGTACCACAAGGATATCTTGGGACGTTCGACTACCACACCGATCTACCTTATCGCGATTTCGAATGTAATATTTATCAATTTCCCTCCTGTTTTCAATTCGGGGATTGAGAATGACACGTTCCATGAATAACATACATATGATATGCTGTGTAGATATTGATTATATTTATAATATAAGGTTCTAATTCAATTATCTGACCATTTGAATTGTCTGGGAAAACCGTCATCGTACATGGTGGCTAAATATTCAAGACTGTTCCGGTATACTTGTGAAAAGAGAACTAAATCTTAACATTAAGATCGGTATTAAGATCAAGAAATTGCATCTACATTAAAGATGCAACAGTTTTGTTTGTGATTATCTCTATCCATTTTTTAATGATCTTGATAATATATTGATAGTACGAAAGATTACGAGAGAGTACGCGGCTCTGCTTCTCCTCTTTCTGTTTGATTTCACCATAGAAGTGACTAGCGATCGACGATCCGAAAATTTTGACAGTACAATCCGCGTGTCGTATTCTCGATAAGGTAGGGTCGAAACCCCGATCAGTATTGCTCCGTATTGCGGCAATGAGGATCGTGCCCCATGAGGATCGAGAGATATCTCTATCGATCGTCGTGGAGCGGCGGTTTACGCGAACACGTAAGTACTATGACAAGTCTATCAAGCAATTAACAGTTTAACTAAGCTATCTCTCCGTGTTAGATGAAAGGTAACGTGTTACGAGCACTTCGAAGAAGCTGTCCGGTTATCCGCGTTTGGTTTTTTTTTTCAAATTTTTTTTCTCGTTTTTCTACACAGAGTAATTTATTTTAATCTCCATAATCAGACATTTAAAATGTTACAATTTTATCGAAAAAACATTCCAAATAAAAATTGAATGATATAAATGGCGTCTCCCTATATACCATACAATTTTTATTTGAAATGTTTTTAGTAAAATTACATATTTTTTAAATATTTGTTAAGATTAAGATGAATCACCCTGTAGGTATATCATTCGTCGAGATTGGGATTCGAGTAAATAAAAATAATTCGTTGTCTAGTTCGCAAAATTATCGTCGATCAAGTATAGTAGTATATATATCGTCATTTAAATCATTGCCATATACGTTATCGCGATTATACGTGTACATAACGCACATGATTCTCTTTCTGCTTTTCTCTGTCTGTCTACGTTAGAATGTGCATTTGTAGTCGTTTCATGTCGTATAAAGTGCTCTAGTCCGTAGAGCAGCCGTGCGCGTCTTGAGACGGCTCCTTCAAGGTATACCTATACCAGGTCTAACACGAATACATATATAACGAGTATATAAAAAAGCGAGCGAGATAAAAAAAAAGAACCGAAAACGGATAAATAATTAAAATAAGAAAACGACTGCCGTATGAAAAAAAAAAATTTTAAAAAGCCTAGAATAAAGAAAAACGTAAAAAGTAACGAAAAGCAAAGAATATACATATTATGTGCCGATGGTAAATTCGTAACCGCAACTTTCTGACTTGGCAAACCATTTTGCCCTCTCCCCTTTCTCTCTGATTGTTGGGTTACCATCTCCGTTGTAATGGAATGGAATGGAATGGAAACGGATATGGCACACACGGATTGGTCACAACTATGGTCGACCGGGTGCTCGGATCGGGTGGCGTCTCTCTCTCTCTCGGTGACGATGACGATGTTATCCTACCTTCCTACCCCCACCGACACATTCGTACGTTCGTCCCGTGCTTACACACGTCCTCTGCCGCGTGTTACACGGGTCTCTGCCGACTCGCGGTGGTGGTGGCAACGATGGTGGATGGCACGGTGTGTGGCGATCGATTGATGATCGGCGACCGCTCGACCTGGCGTGCATCTGATGGCCACGTGGATACGGCGGATGTGACCTGACGACCCATCGACCGCCCCAACGGCGCCTCAACTCTGGATATGTGGCACCTACATCCGGCGCGACCTGTTACCGAATCGGACCGACGCGAACACGGAATACCGAACACGGCGGGTCCGCGGCCTGCGATTGGGTCCAACTCTTGGCATGCACCGATATCAATACGCCGGCCCAAATAGAGCCCACGACCGCCCTCCGTCGAGGACGACGAAGACGGCCACCTTGTATACCAATCCGGCGATCTCCTGGCCAATAGATGTTCGTGATCATGTGAATACACTCATTGTAGTAGATTTAAGAAAGCCTCAGGTCGATTAACTGATCGGTTATCTACGGTATCTGCCCATACTTTTTGTCTCTTTCTCTCTCTATCTCTATCTCTCTGTCTATCTATCTTTCTCTCTTTCTCTTTGTCTCTATCTCTTTCTCTTTCTTTCGTTTCTTTTTTTTCCTCTCTTTTTCACTTCTCCTCGCCTGAACTATAGGTATTATATATAAAACAATATTTACACTACAAAACAAAGAGTAACAATTCACGCGTTAATCACGTGTCAATGTTCTCGCTGAACGTCGCCGTCAGCATACACATACGCGTATATATAAAGATATGTGTATATATATATATATATATATATTATGGTACCACTTATTCGTACACACATTTGTGCGTACACACATTAGCGCGGTTCTCTGCCTAGATCGCAAATTCTCCCCGCCGATCTTTCCGTCGCGCGCTAACTCGGGATACGCGAAAGAGCAGAAAAAAAGATATAGTTTCTCTCTATCTGTCTGCTTATGTATCATTTATTTCAGAAAGATAAGTAATAGCATATACTTATACCATATAGTATACCTAGCCACCACGTGTTTCGACAGCACACAGGAAACCCGTCGGCTCGACGATGACGACGACGGTGATGATTATCGGGAAGCCGGCGCAAAGAGATTTTGCTTTTTGATTCCCCGCTGAATCGAGGATCCCTTCGAACACGAAGGTGATTTGGTGGAGACAGAGAGCTTGGAGGAAGGGAGTAGAGACAAATGAGAAAGACCGAAGGGCTTCTTATTTGCGCTATCTTCTCGATTATGTGTCGTCCTCCTCGGGACGGCGTGTTCCTCGCTCTTGATACTCGTGCACGCGTGCGAGGATGACTGGCATTTGCTATCGCCATTTTTGTATCGCCATCGAACTCCTTGTCTACTCGCTGTGTAAAGAATAAAGGAAGGGAGACGACAAAAAGGTACTCCCGTATGATCGACAGTAAATGCCACGTCCCGTGCGTCCGTTCAAACAGTTACGCTGCTTACCCCGTTTTAGGATCTTTAGGAGAGCAGCGATATTTTCGATCGATATCATTTGAACTATACGTACCGTTCCATGTTTATTCGTTATCCCATTCACCATGAACCGCGCGTGTACGATAACGCACGATCGGCCGAACGCCCACATGGAAGAGTCTCGCCCGTGTTTCTTCAGGGTCTCACTTTTCTTTTTTTTTCTCTCTCTCTTCTAAACGCGACAACTCTTCTTGAAAGAGTTGCCTTTTTTCTCCTTTGTCTAAAGAGCGATGGACAAGGAGCATTCCCAAAGACTCTTTTTGTTAAAGTTATGAACGAAAGGGTGCTGCTCCGTCCAGTTAATATGAACACAGGCGAGCACTCCCTCTCTCTGTGGGCCGCGAGGCTCATATCTGCTGAGCATTTACCTTAATTTTTACATTACAGATAAAGTACTGGCCACCCTAGGAGAGGGTACTTTTGGAAAAGTTGTCAAGGTTAAGGACTTGCAAATGTAAGTTCCAGTTTACATAAGTACGTAGGTAACATAACTTCGCGTTTCGTATTGTCTATTCATATGTTTCTCTTTCTATCTTTTTCTACCTTTTTATTTTTATTTATCTCTTTTCGCTCAATTCCTCGCGCGTCATCATCAATTCGCGCGCCGAGGAAAATCCGAAATGCGCGCGTTGCGCGACGATGTTCCGCAGGCAGAAATAGCCATCCGGCACTGTCACAAAATAACACGCGCGAGTAGTTGCAATAATAGGATGGCCTTGCACTTTGTTTTACGGACTGGGCGTTCGCGACGGCCACGAATTAGATCTCTTTAGCGGAATACGAAGTTACGGCAAACGCCCGCGTGAAAAGTACTCTCCACGTGTAGGTTCAGCCTCACGGGATACGGGATTTGAGTTGACGAGAGACAGTTTCGGTGTCAGATATTATGATCAATATTATGAACATTCTAGGGATCATGTGATGGCTTTGAAGATTATTAAAAACGTGGAAAAGTACAGGGAAGCAGCAAAGTTGGAGATAAATGCTCTTGAAAAGATCGCTAATAAGGATCCGGAGGGTCAACAGTTAGTATCTAATTGTTTTATGTATTCTTTAATTTTTAAATAGTTTTGTGACGTAAAGCTACTCTATCGGCAAGGATATTTCTATTATATTCAATTTAATATGTAAGATTTATAGAACGGCAATAATTAACTGTCGATTATTTCATTTCAGTCTATGTGTAAAGATGCTCGATTGGTTCAATTATCACGGACACATGTGCATCGCATTTGAAATGCTTGGTCTGAGTGTTTTTGACTTCCTGGTAAATATTGAAGCATACCTTATATTAAATTGAATGCATTAGTGCGCACTGGTGTAGAATAAAACCTAATGTACGTTAGAGTCTATCCTCACATACAAAAACATAATATAAATGCCTCGATTGATTAAATGCTTAATATAGATTTTTATCAAACACATTGTAATTGTGTTAAACATCTTGCGGTCTAACCCGCTTGTGTACACGCTTTTACATCAATATTTATATACGACAGTTGTCTTTAAAACGTAATGCGCACTAGTAGATACAATCAAATTCGCTATTAGATGACTCTGATGCTATTAGATCTAAGATATTGATCAAGTTATTTTTACAGAGGGATAACAGTTACCAGCCCTATCCGTTAGAACATGTTAGACATATGGGCTATCAACTTTGTTATGCCGTAAAGTTCTTACATGATAATAAACTCACGCATACGGATCTTAAACCGGAGAACATTTTATTCGTTGATTCGGATTACGACAGCACATATAACAACAAAAAGGTGTGTTATTGTTAATATTTCGTATTACCGATTTATGGAGCCTCGATTTGGCATATAGGGTAAGTTTCCATTCTAAAGTGTTTCAAAAAAAGGTTTTTCTTTTTAAGCGGAGGGACATGAGACGCGTGAAGCGAACTGACATCAAACTTATCGACTTTGGTAGCGCTACTTTCGATCACGAACATCATAGTACAATCGTTAGCACAAGACACTATAGAGCACCCGAAGTGATTCTAGGTGGGTGCCTTTCTTAAAATATTCTTTTGGTCGCACGTATCTTTGTATAACTATTAATATCGTTAATCTTATATTTTTCTGTATGTAGAATTAGGTTGGTCTCAACCCTGTGACGTTTGGTCCATTGGTTGCATCTTGTTCGAATTATACCTGGGCATCACGTTATTCCAAACGCATGATAATCGCGAGCACCTGGCGATGATGGAACGCATACTTGGCACGATACCACATCGCATGGCTCGCAAAACTAAGACTAAGTACTTCTACCATGGTAAACTGGATTGGGACGACAAAAGTTCGGCCGGTAGATACGTACGAGATAATTGCAAACCATTACATGTTAGTATCTTGATTTGACTTCGATCATGTTCCTATATATATATCTCGAGAATTACAAATTGAAACAAAGATTTAAATAGCGAGAATAGAGCGAGTACAAATTTAAAATGTAGATTAATATTTATTTGATTAATGGCAAAATAATTTTTGGTATATAATAATGTTAACTGTTAATTATCCGTAAAATAATATATATTTTTGTATCTGTATATAGCGTTATATGCTGTCCGATGATGAAGAACATCGTCAGCTGTTCGATCTGGTTCAACGAATGTTGGAGTACGAGCCCTCGCAACGTATTACTCTGAAGGATGCATTGACTCATTCGTTCTTCGACGCTTTACCAGCATCCCAGAGATTGCCTGACCCACGAGCAGCTGGTGATTCTCAACAATCTCACGAACGATCACATTCACTTTCTCGATGAAGCTAGGAAAGGGACCGACCTCCGTGCTGGACAGACACTCCACTTTCAACGACACTACTGCCCTATGTCTTCGTCTTAATATCATTAATTTTCATGAAAACATGTCTTTCGTAGTTACAAGATCCGATGATGTGACGATGTAACATTGATTTTGAAAAATAGTGCGTGTATGTGTGTATAAATACCGATCATTGGAATTCTTTATTTAATCTGCACTTTACACTGATTTAATTTGGAACTGTATACATAGAGGAACTACACGTAGGAAAAGTAGTAGTGCCGTGGAACTTGGACTAATATATATAACGACGAGCGATCAGATCATTACCCGTTGCCCGATAAGCTTCCGGGTTCGCGTTTGTTTTTATCGCAATTGTCGATCATAAGACAGCGACGAGGTCCCTGTTACTGGCGCGCAAAGGCCAGTGTGTCTGCTCAGTGTAGCGTAACAGAGTCCCAAAATTGTAAACAATTTTTTAAATGCTCTTCTGTACATTTTTGTCCCTTAAATTTATTACAATGTTATTATACGATATAAATGAATTTGGAATAAAGATCACTTTCGGGGTCTACAGTTCATAATCTGTTTAGAATTGACGACCACGAATGTGTTCTGACAGTAAGTATCGGACTAGTGAAAAAATAAAATAGTTATACGCGTACACGTCAATAGAGTTGACAGAAATTGAGAGGAAACGATAGACGCGAGCGAGAAAGTGTGTGAATAACGATCACCACAATTCATCGTTGTGAATTATATACATCTTGAAATGTAAGAATACATAATTGTCTTAGAAAATATTCTCTCAAACAACTCTTTTCTTTTATTCATTTCTGATAAGTCTATCATACAAAATGACATAAGTTGAATAAGCATAGTATAAAGTCGTTGGATTAATAAGTAATATCTTATGTATGGTAAATCAATATAGTATCTTTATGCTGAATGGAGCGTCCGGTAGTATTGTACTACTACAACTCGTGTCATTTTGTGAATGATGGGTTATACATTGAATTCGGGAAAAGAATTCACAAAATTCACAAAATTTTTTGCGAGCATCGCCTTGTAAAAATTTTGGCCTAATTAAGTAATATTTTTTGTTCTATTTTACTATATCTTATACAGATTTAAATTAAATTAATGATGCATATTGAATATTGCGAAAAATAATCGAACATGAAGCAATCTCCACTTTTTTGTCACAGATTTTTCATTTGCACAACTGTATCACCCGTGTAAGTTTTGTTTGACCTTAGTTATACTAAGACTATGAAATGAACAATATTATAGCGACTGCTCGTTAAACGCGATCAGGGATGTCTAGGATGTTCTGCAAAAAACAAAACGATATTTCTAGTAGCAATAAATACATTTCTTTCAAACTAGTATCGATATTTATTTGTTTAACCAGCAAATCAATTCTTACATCTCTCGAGCTTATACTTATATTTTATTTGCAAAAATGCCTTCGCATTAAACATAAATTCATTCCTGTGAATTTTAATAACTATATTTGCATATTGGTCACGTTCGCACATACAGTGCTAAAAATAAAATGAGCCCGATCAACAGGCTTTAAAAAAGCGAGGAAAATTCATTTTCCAAAGAATTCCCTCCAACATTATGTATATTATTCTTCCATAGATCCAAAATAATCGTGTATAAAATTAAGATGTCAAATTAATGAAAATATTATAATGTTGGCCATGAGTAAAGTGAAGGTATTGCCGATTTGTAGCTTGGATCGTATAATTGTGCCTTGATAAAGCTCTCGTAATCTGAATATTCCGGCTCGGGATAGACAGTCGCTAGACCTGCATATAAAAAAAATGTGAATAATTTATATTAGTAGCAGAATCCACGAGACGCTTTGTATATCCTGTCTTTTCTAACATATTTATAATAATATTGATAGTATTTATACTCACATTTTTCGTAGGCATATTTCATGATTGCACTTGCTATACTCAACGAACATTTCTGTATATCGGCCAATGGTGGATAGAGATTGCCGCTATCCAAATCGGCTTGCGTTACCAGATCGGAGAGAGCCGTCGCAGCAATAAGGAAAGTCTCCTGGGGAATCGTGCGCATACCAGCGCATATTGCGGCCAGCGCGATTCCAGGGAATATGTAACTATTATTACCCTGGCCAGGATAATAAGTTTTATTGTTATACGTAACTGGTGGAAAAGGTGAGCCGCTCGCAAATATACATCTTCCCTGCAATTAAATAATGATTGATTAAAATTATTTAGGAAACGTCAGTAAAATTTTATGTTGAAATTGAAATTTCAATGAAAGTAGAGAATTGTTCAAATCAACCTTTCTTACCTCTGTAGCAGTATATGCTTCTTCCGCAGTGCATTCGGCTTTACTCGTTGGATTGCTCAGAGCGAAAATAACAGGTCTGTCATTATTACGCGCCATTTCCCTCAATATTTCTGTCGTGAAGGCACCCCTGATAGCAGCTGCGCCAATAATAACCGAAGGTTTGGCGGTCTTAACAACATCCAACAGAGTATCGATTGGTTTATCTTCACGAGCAAAGTGCAATTTATGCTCCGTTAGTCCACCTTTTGGACGATCTTTTACTATCAGTCCTTTCGAGTCTACCATCCAGATTTTACTCTTAGCTTCTTCCTTAGTTACTCCTTCTTTTAGCATTGTCATTATGCACAATGTCGCGATACCTAGTGACGCCTACAAGTGATTCATAATTAATGGAGACGTATTCTCTTCGCATATATAATCTATAGCGCGACTAAAGCACGATTGTGTTTTTGTCGACAGTATTCCCTAGTGACAATTTTTCTCAGAATTTTTTATCACAATTTTTCAGAATTTTGATTTCAGTAAATTTCAGAATTTCTATAATAAATAATTTTATAACTTTAGAAAATTTCTCAGATTTTTTAATACAAATACGAACATTTCCAAATTTTTCATACATCTAAAATATTCTAAAATTTCTTATTTTCTTTTTTCTTAAATTTTTTCAAATATTTTATAAGAATTCATAAGAAATTACAAAATGAAAAATTACAGAAATCTTTTAGAATATTTCAGATTTTATGTGAAGAATTCTAAAAAAAGATGTGTAAACTTTATTTCAATTCGTATAAAAATTCTAAAAAAAAGTTTTCACCAGGATTGACTAAAATTTTTTGATAGCAACCTCTCCAGCACCCTGAAACACGATCGTGTTCTCTGAGAGCTTTGTCTGCGTAACACGAAGTGATGCCAGTAACCCGGCAACAGCGACGGAAGCGGTGCCCTGAATATCATCGTTAAAGGTGCAGTAATTATTGTGATACTTTTGAAGCAATCTGAACGCATTAAAATTCCCAAAGTCCTCGAATTGGATTAATGTATTCGGACCATATCGTTTCACGACAGCCTTCATAAATTCGTCCACGAACTCGTCGTAATCTTGCCCAGTGACACGTCTGTGTCTGTGACCGATGTACAGGGGATCATCCAACAAAGACTGCAAAAAGAATATAAAATTCAAACACATACAGATTTAAGATTAAAGAAGAAATCAACGCGAAATGTTCACGAAGATATACATTTTTTTTCATGTTTTACAATATAACGAGAGAACCAGTGAAGGCGTTTAGCGCGCAGAAGTGATATATTTTCGCATACCTGGGTATTAGTGCCGACGTCCAAAGTGATAGGTAAACACTGGTGGGGTTTGATACCAGCTAATGCGGTGTACAATGACAATTTACCTATGGGAATGCCCATGCCGTGAGCACCTAGGTCACCCAGTCCTAATATCCTTTCGCCGTCCGTGACAACGATTGCCCGCACGTCGTGTTCGGGCCAGTTTTTCAAGACGTCGTAGACATGGCCTTTATCGTGGATGCTTATGAAGAGGCCACGCGGCCTACGGTAAACCAGACCGAATTTCTGACATGCCAAACCCACGGTCGGCGTATACACCAACGGCATTATTTTACCTACATCTTCTGCCAACAAACGGTAGAAGAGTTTCTCGTTTCTATCCTAAGGAATAAGACCTTATGTGAGAATCAACGCATATGAGAAGAGCAGGCCTGATCAAGCGGGAACGGGGAGACCACTAATGTAATGTCTCCGATCAAGCGACGGCGATAATTGCCGTGTTCATGTACCAGTAGGCCTATAAGATATATGTATTTTGAGAGATCATCCGTGTAGCGTTCCAGATTAAGACGACAAAGCTCTAATTGTTCTTCTTGGGTTTTCACGGCTGCCGGTAGAAGACCATGTATACCTAGTATCTGCCTTTCCTCAATGGTGAACGCCATACCCTGAAATGTGATAATAATACATATTAAATATAACACTTAAATGAAATTAAAATCCACTGAACATCTCTATCTCTCTTAAAAATCAAAAGTTATAGAAAAGAAAAAAAAATGCAATAGATTTACAATCCGATTTTATACGTCAAATTTATTTCAATCAATTGTCTTTATCATTCGGACTGCGGAAAACGTTGTCGCTATCGTTCCTTTTCTTACGACATGGCAAACAGGAAAAAATTAATCGATGAGTCAGAATCAGAGCACTGGACTAGACTCTGACCTTCAGTTAAAAGGAATGATACTGTAACTGCTAACACTGTTAACAACAGTCATTAGTGAGCGTGGGTGAAAGGTGATCAGCTGATCGTCATCCCACTTCGATTTTTACAAATACTAATATTGCACAAACGTTACATCTAGCGGTCATGATTTAGATATATTATGTAGTGTGTATATATATATATATAGTATATATGTATATATCAGAATTTACCCTCAAAATTCATTTTCCATGATGCACGTTCATTCTCAAGGATAATGATATAATAATGCCCTCGGCGACACAGTTGTGTCTAATTGAATCTTGAATAGATGAAGACAAAAACGAGCTTAAGGATCTTATAAGAGCGATTAAGAAAAGATTCGATTGCATCGTTTAATCGACGTTAAATAAATTGATAATATTTTGTACTTCAGACGTCTTTAATATTTAATTTATTTCCTCGAAAGAGAGTAAGTTTAATTTAAAATATTTCAACAGCTAGTATTTTTAAAAATAATGTTATAAATAGGACACCCTTTATACTCGATTAAATTATAGATGTAAAGCATATACCGTTGGCATAGTAATGTGGATATTGCCAATGTCTTTTTAAAAGAAATATTGGACTGTGCCAAGTGTTCGTTGAATTCGCGGTTGACTTAAACGGGCTGTCGTCAACGTTTTATACAATTATTCTACCATTAAAATTGAACAAATGTCCGCGTTCCGTTTGCTCGTACTTTGTACTTTCGTATGCAAATTCACTATACGTCAATATTGAAAGAGCAATATAATTTATGATACAACTTGTTATCTCGCCAACTTATCTCGACTGCGGTTGATGAACTGCATTACTTTGTGATGATTTCATTTATACCTTCAAATACCGGAAAAGTGTGGCGAGTTCTTGAGCGTTATATCCGTACAAGGATAAACAAGACTAATCTGATCTGATTAACACCCAAATTATCTGTAATGTTTCTCTAAGTCATTTTATATTTTTTCATCGCCTTTTATATATTTTGTATTAATGCTATTAAATAATCAGTAAACGATATGCGATTTCTTTTTCATTTATTTCTTTTTTTAAGATAGAATCCAAAACTGATGTTTTCTTAGCGATTTTAAGTATTAAAAATTAAAATACAATCAGATTTACTGATACAATTTGTATACATAAAATTCTTCTTATTAAAAATTGTAAATCTCTTTATATAAGATGTATATATATATATAAAATAAATCGTACACAATGTCATACTTTTCACTTTTGCATTTTGGAAATTTTTCTCGTCAGAAACAGATATGTGACAGTCGTGCAACCAATATTTTCGTATGTTGCATCGTCATATTGTGTTGTCGTTGTATGTAAATTTTTGCTTGATAACGTATCGTAATAATTATGTCACTCTTATATAAGATGATATCTTAATAGACGTAATTTTACACGAATACATTTAATAACATTTAATAATTTGTCGAAATATACATACATAAGATGATATAACGTTTAATTCTTTAATTGTATTGCTTAATCAATTTCTATTTAAAGTTTGTTATAATAATTGTATTAACTCTTTTGAAAGATAATGTTTTTTTTTAATTAAACGTTGACAAATTAAACGTCATACCAAAGCGAACTGTATGGTAATTTAATTTAATTCAATAGAGAGGTCAGCGCTCGTGAAGAGTACTTTTCCATTGAATTCGTTCGTGACTTTTGATAGGCATCTTAAAGCGACAGCTGACTCCATCTAAAGTTTTTATCTGACAATGAGTAAAACTTTAATGAATATCCTGCTTTAATGAGAATTCTGTTTAAACAAGATTTTTCATTATACACTGTTTTCTAATTTTCTAATCTACATTTGAATATGAAAGAGAAATGAAAATGCGCGCGTTAACAGAGATTTAACTTAATTCAGAATATATTAAGAAGGAATAAAGGTTAATAAAAGTCACGTATCAGTATTAAGTATTAACAAAAAATATCTTCAAAACTAACCACATATATATTAATAAATATATAAAACGTTAGAAACGTTTTTAAATTTAAAAGTTACAAAAATAAAAAGAATAAGAAAAAGATCGACGCTGTGAAAATATTACATATTTCGGCCTTGTATTTTGGCCCTCTTCAGATATACGATGTTATAACACAGAAATAAGTATGACAATGACGGTTTTGTGAAAAAAATAATAAAAAAGTAGGATGAGAAGTTGATCAGAAAAACAAAATCACTCGTCAAGCGATTGGATAACCGATTGCGAAGATTTCTCGTTATTCTCTGCGTCCACAAAATAAAAAGATCCATGTCAAAGATTAAAATCGTCAATAAAATGAAGTCAGATGAAATAAAAATGTTTATGTCACATAATAATTATATAACGTCAGATATGTAATAAAGAAGTAACACGTCATTCTGTCACAACGATCAAAACTGTAATGCCATCTTAATTTAGAATATAAATCTATTAATATAAAATTACTATCTATAATTTTTAAAAGACTAAATTTTATGATGAGTAATATATATAATCCAAGAAGATCAATAATTCCTCCTTTTTAAGAAAACGAACTTTTCATTATTCAAAACATATAAAATATTTATAGTAAATGTATTTTTATGAATTAAAGTTCTTTCAACTTACACGAAGCATTTAAAACTTTTATCTTATTTAATATTAAGAAATATTGCAGTTTTATTCGTTTAATGAAGTAAAATCTTTGTAATATGTATATTACTTTATATGAGTAAATTGATAATATTGATAAGAGAGATTTTCTGTGGAAATTTTTCCTAAAATTTCATAATTGCAAAGTAAAGCTAATTACTATAGTTTTCAAATTTATGTATCTCAATATCATTCATATTTGTATATACCAATTATATAAAATTCATAGTGCTTGCGATAACCATGTCATTTATAATTCTCTATTCCTTTTATCGCAATAACATTATTAAAATATAAATATATTATTTATCAATATGTGTGGTATTATCAATATTAATTAAAGCACAATTTAATGCAAGATTCTCTATGTTCAGCAATCTCGAAAGTATTTTTAATCGTATTTTCTTAGGTACAGAATTAGTAAAAGATAAGAAGAAGAAACTAAATTCGTTAAAATTAATCAAGATTGGAACAATTGAAATTAAAATTCCCATTTCATCTCAGTGAACAACAAGTAAATTTCGTAAAATATTGTATATATGCATATAAATATATTTTTCGAGAATTAAGGCAACTAAAAGGGAAAGTTAAGATGACAGTCCGATTATCGCTGTAAAAGAAAGTTGAGATTTGGGCGAGACATGCAAAAGAGAAAGTCCAAGCCTTTAGTCCAGCAAACATGAGAGCGCAAACGTGAACGAGTACCCTTCCATCCACAGCGAGCAGAGCTTCAGGGATGCGCGTAATCCGATTCTGATCCGGAACGAGATTCCACCAATCGGTCTCCATTTTATCTCGGCGCACTCCGAACTTTTCCCTCAAAATTTTCGTATCCCATGACAAACAACCGACCGTGGAAACGGTTGCTGGGGTTCTTGACTCCCGTGACGGCGACCCTTCGGCCCATGCACGGATCGATAGGCAGCCCTATTCTTGAATTCTTGAATATAAAGTGACTCTATGACCTACCGCAAGTACTATGTGTACCCGCTGCTTAACAAAACAATACCGATCATCGCGAAACGTTCGCGAATAATTTCGCAGGTACGATCTCTGAAGATGTTTTACAGAAAGAAAAAGAGCTAAGGTACAAATTTTATTTTTTTAAAAATCTTTTAGCGCTGATTTTCTTCAATGGAAAAATTTTATTTACTGCGACCAATAGAATCTTGTTTCTTTTATGAATAATATAAAACTGCTATTTATATAATTTTAAAGATTTTTCAAATTTTATAACGAATAATAATCTAAAAAGATCAATAACTCCTTTTTTTTTAAAACGCGGATTTTTTATTATTTAAAAAATATAAAATCGTTCATAATAAATACATTTTGCGAAAATGTCAATTTTTTTATAATCCGAAATATATGATTAAAAATACATTCGAAGTTGTTGAATTGAAATTTTTCTGAATAGAAAGTGGACAAAATTTTCTTGCATTAAGGTAACTTCAAGAGGAAAGATTTAACATTCGTGCTGAAAAGGATTGCAAAAAATTCTAGTTTCTTTATCCTTCAAAATGCTCTAAGCTAAAGTACCATTTCAATGGGGATTTTAACTGCAAAGAAATTAAAAAATAAGATTGTGAGATTTCAGGGCCGTCTCAATCCGTGAATGAGACACTTAGCTATATCGAATTTCGGATTTGCGCAAGCGTAGAGGGCAATAATCCGTGAAGAGTTTCGCGAAGTCATCCTGCAGTCCTACATTCTGCTGTCGAGTTGCAATCTGATTTGTCATGCGCAATTGTTGCACGCAGCAAAGTTTCGGATTTCGCTTCGCGAAATGTTTGTGAACTCTTATTCGATATAAGGTATATAAATTATCGGATCATCAATTTGTTAATCGTAATTGATATTTGATATGATTTCGTAATAAATCGTACTAATATTTATTTCAATTTTCAAGCTCATCATTTCATACAAATGAATTCAAAATTAGCTTTATTGACTAACAATACACTCTTTTTCTATTTTTACAGAGTGACGAGAAGATTTCAGGCATCACAATTAAATGTTTCCTTGAACCAGATTTAAAAGTTTGCTGAAAGCGTTATTTTTTTCTTTTTTCATAATCTTATTTCGGTAATTTTATTCAGTTAGAGGTACGTTCTATCTTACGTATTATCTTGCGGAAAGCTCTACAAGTGATTACAATATGTATATTTCGCTACTCCACGTGGAAATATATATTCAATAGAAACAAGAAAAGTGTCGGAAAGACGTTCTAAAATCTAAATATAAACGTCTTCTATGATAATCATCCGTTATTTTCCTTCATGACGTTTGTTTTTTTTTTTTTCCTCTAATTGCTTTCCGTGCTGAGTCAAGCCTAAGTTATGTATGTAGATAACGTGAACGCGTACTCGAATCTATCGTGAGTGGAGACTATCACATTCCGCACGATCGCGACTAGCAAGTGCAAAGCATTTAGTTATGGGATACACAACAGCCTACCTTGTTCAAGTGCGGATCTCTAATGTGATCGAGGCCACGCAGAAGGCCGGCGCAGATCGCGTCGCCGTTTCCTCGTTGGCCCAGCTGATCGCGTTCCAAGCTCGACATGGTTGACGTTTTAATCTTGCTACAGTCGGGTTGGTTACTGCTCTGGGTCCTGCGAACGAATGCCACTTGTCTGAGCAGTTTGCGCGCAAACGCACGGCAAGGTGGTAGGACAGGGAACGCGATAGTGAGGTGACGTGTGCGCGTCGGCAAAATGACAAAAGGGGTAGAATAATGAACACCGCCGTGCCTATTGAAGGCAGCGACCTTCAATCCTTTTAACCTTCATAAATCTTTCATTCACTATACATTGTTACATAAACAATAGCCATTACAAAAATATATTAATTACTTTTAATTTTCTCTAATATTTAAGAAATGATAATGCATGCCTTTTTTCTTACAAAACATACCCTCCTATAAATCTTAATAAAACAAACGAACTGATAAATATTAATCTGTTTTTATAAATATGATTTATTTTACATAATACAAATTTTTTATGTATCAATGTATATAAATATATATTTGTAATTACATTGTAATCGTAAATATATATTTATATATATATACACATACAAATTTATTATTTATTTTCCTTCTGTTACGGTAGTAAAAAATCTTATATCGGTATTCTTATATCATAGTGCTTTGTGTCTTATAATATTATGCGACACAAAATTACTTTTCATCAACAATCAATTAATAAACCTTCTGTAACATTTTTTCTCTGCATTGTATACATATGAGACAAGGTTCGCCTTGGAGGAGCAAATATAATACGCACCTGCGAACAGGCATGGTTTAGCGCACGCGCACTTGTCGCGCAATCATGCGTCGTACATTTACCGGACAACAAATGTCATGTTTGATTCATCGTGAGAAAAATATGCAAATATGTTTACAGACGTCGATATTAGACGTTTAGGAAATCACTATCAATGGCGGGAACAAAGTTCGACAGAGTCGACGTTTCCCGTACTCTCTTTCGTCTTGACTAGATCAAAGTTTAAAGTATACGTTTAATCGACGTGACTGAGCATTTATCCTCCAATTACAAAGTTACCGAGATAGTATAATAACGACATATATGCGTAATTATTACGATTATCATAAAAGGAAATAATTAAGAGATTATATTAATGATAAATTAGGGAAAAAGGACTGAAAAGAACTTTATCTTTATGTATATGCAACAAAAATTAATTTAATTATGAGATATTCATTACTGCTAGACGTTTATGATAATATAACTTCTTCAAACTGTTAAATATTATCGTAATTTGTTCGAATTGTATAATAAAGAAAAACGTCATGGTCTTTTCTGACGTAAAGTAAAAATGAAATTCAGCGAAACGGAGATGACGCAAAAATTCCTGCACATGTCAAGTAAATTCAATAGAATTCGACGCGATTCGACTTTACCTGCTCTTGGACAGGTGATGCTGGTGGCAGATCTCAGATTCAAGATCCGAGATAGCATAACGCAAGCCCGCGCTCGATTGACGGAGAAAACTCGTCAAGTGACAGCTGAGCGGTATCAGGAACTGCCTCGTAGACATGTTTTATATAGACTAAACTAAACTAAACGTTTCGTGACGCGACTCTCTTATCTGTCTAATGTATTTGCGGGGAAAGACGCATCTCGCATACATGTGTGTATGCATATCGCGCATATTTGCTGGAATTTATTTCCCCCCTCCGGAATTGGATCGCGAAAATAGAGGACTCTGCAAATCTCCGTACTGTAGAAATCGCTTATCCTCGCACATAATTATTAACGTGGGTATGTAATAGGTGATGTAATATTGATGAGACGAGATAACGACGCTAATTGTCGCGTTAGCCTTTACTCTTTTAGCCGATAGCCTGATACTGATGGTCCCACACGATTCACGCGATGTCTTTAGCCAATGTGAAATTCGGACATTATCTATCGCGCGAGTTTATAATATGTATCTATTGTGATGAGGACAAATTAAAAAAATGGAATACTTTTTTATCAATATGTCCGGCGATATTGAATATAATTTAATTCTTATTAAGTCATATAAATATAATTTCCGACACAAGTATAATTTTTTCTGAAGATATTCTTGATGATGCAATCCTTTGAGTTATTTAGAAACTAATTAGCGATAAAATTGAGAACTTGAGAGATTTAGAAAAAAAAAAAAACAAGTGTCTGTTTAAAAAGTTATACGGAATGTTTTATTTTAAACGTAATGAGTCGAATAATATCTCGGAAAGTATAAAAGACGCACAGGGAAATGTTTCAGGAAGTTATACGATAATTTTTCGAGGTCATACGGAAGTTATCGCCATTTTTAAAATAGATCTGTATGATTTACACAATAATATGACTTCTTTGATTATTCTGTATTCAAAAGCATTATTAAAGTTAAACGAAAAATTAATAATTTACGAAATATTTTATACTTTATACTAGCATATATATTGACATGAAATATTAAATATCTCATAAACTATTGATTTTTCAATAGTTTACCTTAATGCTTTTATGCGGAATAATTGGAAAAATTATATTATGCAAAAAAAAATATACAATCTCAATTTAAAAAATAAAAAAATCTTCATATGACCTCGAAAAATTTTTTAAAAATTAATTTTACCAATAATTGCGTTCCTTCAAACCGTACAACTTTTATCTGAAACATTTTTTCGCATCTTACATATTTTCCGAGATATTCTGCGCATTATATTTAAAATAAAACATATTTATGACTCAACCCAATAATAATTAAAATGTTAATTACAACATTTCGCACCATCAGAGTACTTTTAAATGTTATCCTTTTCTCTATAATATAATTCACATGTTTTAAAATCCTATTTATTATCAAAAGAGAACAAATTTGCCGCAATCAAGATAAGTACAAAGACAAAGGCACTTACATCCTGCCGTTTCGTTGCACGTTATTGTCTTTGGAGTTTCCGTTGCCCATCGTGACGAATCGACCGAGACACTTAAGCGATTAGCTGGGGATTCGCTAGTTGAGGTCTGTCTGGATCTCGTATCAATATCGCAAACGATTCATAACTCTCGCGTTAACATGGGCGTGGAAGAGTATACCGTATTTTGCTGCAGTTGTGTCAAATCGATCCGATAAGAGAGGCAAGATTTTTCTTAGAGAAGAAATGCGCGCGAACCGCCCAGCTTCTCGCACGCCGGTGAAATCGGCTGCTTCGATCACGAGCGGATCACGAGCGTGACTAGCGGATCGCCGTCGGATCGTCATCAAGGAGAACGTGGTGTTCACTCGTCGTGTCGTAGCCTTCGTTCTAGTTATCTAGATTCTCCCGCCTTTCAGAGAGAAAATCGGGCGAAAAAAGAGCGTATTTTCGGAAGGGGAATTGACACTTCCTCTTATATCTGATATTTTAGAAGAATTCCTTTTTAACAATAACCGCCGCGATTTTACTCACGTACACGGCGGTGTTTTTTTTTTTTTTTTTGTAGCGTGATCGTTATCCAATTCGATTGGGTCCCTTTTTTTTTCACGCAATAACTCTTTTTTACTCAACACAAAAATTAATTGCGTACTTACGTGCGTGCAAAACTTTGTGTGTCGTGCGCAGAGAGGAATGGTTTCACGCGACTGAAAAAGGATTTTTTGTAAAAGATTTTTTGTAAAAGAATCTTAATCGCTCGCTATATCGATTGTGCGCCTTTACCTGAGAAGATAGTTCCTCGCTCGAGTTTTCCAGAATGCGAGCAAACTTTTTCTGACAGCCATTCGTTGACGATAGCGGCGTGTCTCTCAGTTCTCTGTCCTGAACATCGTTATCTAATCGATGATCGCGTCTTATGACAGTTTATATATAACTTATAACTGTTTCCACCAATGTAGTTTAATTTTAATCTCGATTTAACTATCTCTTTCTATCTTTTTTTACTTTCAAGATTTAGAAAAACATGAAGTGCAAGTTGAGCCGAAATTGAAGATAATCTACATTGCTAAAAACGAGCATTTTAGTATATCATAATATATTTAATCTCGATTTAACTATCTCTCTCTATCTTTTTCTACTTTCAAGATTTAGAAAAAGATGAAGTGCAAGTTGAGCCAAAATTAAAGATAATCTACATTGCTAAAAACGAGCGTTAGTACATCATAATATAAGAAACCAAAGTTATAAATTATTGTGAAGAAGGAATAAGCAATTATATTCTCATGAGTAACAAAGCAATTAAATGTTATGAAAGACGTGTGAATAAAACATTTATCTAAAAATACTTAAATAGACATTGCATTATATCCTGCAGACTTTTATACATGTTGTAAATTATTTTACAATTTGAAAAACTTGAAAAAGGTGCATCGTATTGCTCGGACGCTGTATGAGTTTTCGTCTCATATCAGAATCAATAGTATTAAAAAATAAAAATATATATGTTAATAATAAATATTGTAAATTGTTATATTATGAAAGGAATATCCTTGTTGCAAGAGTTTTCTCCCGCCGTTCTAATTGTTTCTTAATGGCGAAGTGAATGCATGGTGAAAGTCATAATATATTACGATAACAGACCCTGGAGAGGAGAGAGCGAAACAATCGTGTTTACGATTGGGTAGTTCTGTCTTTGCGTATAAATTAAATTGTATAATTTAACTGTATATTAATTGAATTTTGCATAAATTTAAAAAAATGTAAAATTTGAAATAATGCGTTATTCAGATATATATAATGCGGATGGGAAATTGATTACATTTCTCAATAAATAAAAGGTAAATAACAAAATAATATATATTTATTTAGAGTGTAGAAAATTACAATTAAATTGAATCGAAGTCAATATATATGTATATATTTTTAATATCTTTTTTATTTTGAATGAAAAGAATATAACAGCAACTATAAAAAATAAATGCAGCGTATATTATAGCAAAGAGAAAAATCTGAGAATAGGGATGGGATATGCTCGTAATTTTGAAATGATCCCTGTCCATTAGCGCCTCTATGTGGACAAAATATGGATGTGAACCACGTATCTATATTCACACAAGCATTTCTACTATATTTCTGATAGGTAACACGACTAACACGAGCACGCATATTGTCCATTTTTTACCGATATAGATTAATTTTGATTTAATTTACTTTTTCTGGTTTTAATAATTAGAAAAAAATAAAGAATAAATTAAACCGAGATTATGATTGATCTACATTGATAGAAATGGACGTAAGCTCATGATCTTCTCATTTGGTTCTATTCCGTACTATGTCTACACAATCTGCAAGCGTCGATAATATATATAGATGCTGTCGCACATGTATTACAAGTGTGATGTTATTTCATCACGAATGAATGAATAATTTGGTGGTTATACAAAGATACTTGATTATTTGAAAATTATTTTTTGGTAAAAGTATATAGTGAAACGCATGCGCAAGAGGTCACAGAGCATGAAGAAAGCATATTCATAGCGTTACATGTGGTTACATGTAGTCGGTATGACAGATTTCCTAACCTCAACAGTCGTCAACTTTAATGCTTAATATCTCGGTTCGGAGGACACAGCGACACTTTTTATTACCAGATTCGTTCGTTTCGTGCAAAAACGTATCGAATGAGTGTATTTTTATCAAAATTTAAACTGAGCGGGGTATTCTGTATCTTTACCTATTCTTACAAGAGCTGAGATTGATATAATATAATGGCGCAAATAGGGAATGTAGTAAGTGAATTATTTATATACAGATTTTATCTATATACAGAAATTTAACCTACATCATAGTTTTATAACCTAGATGATTAAGTTTGTTTACGATACAATACAATTAATTATAAAAATAATTGAATAACTAGCAATTATTTAAATTAACCGCCTTGATTAAGATTTATTTTCTCATATAACAAATAAATTATTAATACTTGTATATTAGATGATTTTTCTTGTTTCAATTTCTATTTTACTGCGTAATATTTACAAATTAATTAATGAAAAGTACATATGTTTAATGTTATATTTTGTATTTAAGACAGCAGATCAACTAATGGCTGGTACCAGTGTGTTGTCAAAACCTGCTGAAGAATTCGAAAATGATGTGAGTAAAATCGCATGTCGCAATTAATGAGCAAGTAATATCTACTATTTCATATTGTAAGGAAATTTTAAATCAATTTTGCTCTTAAAGAAACCTTTTCCTTTTTTTTTTCTATTTTAGCCATCTCTGGAAGCAATGTGGGCAATGAAAGCCATGGAACATGCAGAGGTTTATTTTAATGTAAGTTATATGATTTTATATACATACATATGTGAGAATTATGAAATAAATAAATAAATAAATGGTATAAATAATAGAGATATTATGCTCCAGATTTTATGTTCGGTTGATCCCAAGTTTTTGAAACTCACACCTCACGATGAGCAAATCTATAAGACTTTCAAAGATACATTTCCTAATATGAAAGTGGATACAGTGGATGAAGAAGAGTTGAAATCTCCAGAGGGAAAGATAAAATGGAGGTTCTTTTGTGAACAATTTAAGGATGTTGTGGAGGACTATAGTTTTGGTACATTATTGAGAGCAGATTGTACTGGAGATTATTCGGAACAGAACAGCATACTAACAACTAGGATACAATTTTATGCTATAGAGCTTGCAAGGAATAGAGAAGGCTTCAATGATGGTGTACGAGAAAAGTATAAATCAAATAGAACTATAAAAAAATAGATTTGATATTACAATTAGTTACATTAACACTACTGAATTGTAAATTCAGATTTATATATTATTTTTCTATTACTTTTTTAAATGTAAGAGATAATTTTGTAAGATATATATACACATAATAAAAGATATATACAATAATGGATATTAAATTGATATTTGAATATATTTACCATCTTATAATAAGACAACGAACTTCCTCTTCTTTAATTTTATACATCATTGAAATAAAAAAAAGACAATTTATTAAATGAATGAATATTATATCTGTAAGATTGTGTGTGTGTGTGTGTGTAAAAAAAGAAGGGTAATAAATTGATAAGAAAGAGGAGAATGCAGGTTAAAAGAATGACTACAAAATAAGGATGCATAAGAATTATTGGACAAAGAATTTGATTATCAATGAATCTTACAGTGTCTACAGAGACTTTAATAAAAAATTAAAGTAGGTATATAAAATTGTAAGATATATATCTATTAATTTTGAAGGTATAGTGAAAGAATGTACGAGAGCGACTATTTCTAGAATATATTGCTATATACACACTTTAATAACCAAAAACAAACATTACAGCAATAATATTGTTATTAATGTAATATTATATGCAATAATAGAATCATTTATCAATCGTAGTGAAAACACCGAAAACCTTGCTTCTTCTCTTACTGGAAAGAACAATGCGAACGGTTTGTCTTCTTTTTATTATTAATAATATTAATTCACATAATGGCGCCCGATCGACCGCACCCCCATGTTGTCGTGGATGTTATAAAAAAATTAGTAGACGTTACCTTGTTTGCCACACAATAATATCTATAGGCGCTAATACGCTATTTCTCGAGAGCGCGGTCGACCCGCGAGCCGATCGATCGTTATTGTAGAATAATAAATATGACAGTGCGATATCTAAAAAATCTGTCTTTTTATGCAACTTGCACATTCAAATACAAGTGTACTCGAAAAATGTACATTGTTTTATTGCCCTTACAAATGTTGAGGGGAATAGCAGCTGCCAAATCGTCACATATACTTACACCTCGGTCTTTTAGTAACAAAAGTACAAAGGAAAAAATAACTTTCAAAGAAACCCGTTTCGTCCGGTATATAATAATTGTCTGTAAATTGCTCATTTCAAATTATGGATCATTCAACGATTTGGCAATTACGAATTCTCCTCGAATCAAGCGGTACTGCGGCTTCTTTCCCAATTTAACTTTTGCTCACTCTCTCTCTCTCTCTCTCTCTCTCTCTCTCTCTCAAACTCTTGCTTTCTTTTTTCACGTTCACTCTGTATTTCTGACCGCTAAAAAATATTTGATACAAGATCGTACGAGAATCACAAAATAGATCTTCGAATAAAATCTGCTTTAGATGAGCGTCTTTCGTCTGAGCATAATAATAAGTAAATTAATTAAATAATTAAGTAATCTAGAGTATATTTATATATGTCAAAGATGTGGAATATTTTTACATACTGTAAGAGAGATTTATTATCTCTCTTCCCCTCTCCCTTCAGAAAAGTTAATTCAAAAGTATTTAAAAGATATCACATTTATATATTTCTCTCTCTCTCTCTCTCTCTCTCTCTCTCTCTCTCTCTCTCTCATTCTGTGCATTTCGGTTTATTGTACCTCTATTGAATGGCGCGACCAGAAAATAGAGCTTGCCGAATCTTGCGTTTATTTTTTAGCAGACAATTTGCATCATCCATGATATAAATTACAAGATTCATGTACATAGACATTGATCCTCAAATAATGCGGTAGAATCTTAGTGATCATTTTCCGCTCGACTCTGTTTATTATAATTTCTCTCGTATTTCTTCGAGGGCGACTGATTCTAGGGTGCTTGAAAAGGAAGCGTAAAATATACGAATAAAGTAGATAACATTAATAAGTTTAAATGCACCAACTCTATTGAAGTTAAAAAAACTTGTATATATAATATTGTTATTAATTTACATTAAACGCTAATTACTGCCGAACTTTATCCTAACACTTTGCACAGATTTTTAACTTCTATATACAATAAATAGAATTAATAATTGGACAATCGTATTTAATGTCAGATGTGATATGCAAATACAGATATAATCGTTATTTTTTGATAGTTACAGGAAGATTAAAAAAATCATAGATTTTTCTTACGTGCATGTGCTACTTTTATATATAAATAAATTCAATTTTTGATGGTCCCTCTCTCAAAGTCTTATTAGTTTTATTTAAAGTGCTATTTTTACAAAATTCTGATTATGTTTTTGTGCATCTTTACGCTCTTTTTTCAAACACCTTAGAGTAGATGTGAATATTACAATATGTCTCTCGTTCTGAGCGAATAATTCATACATAATAAAAAAAATGATGTAAGAGGACAATGTTATCGTTCACTGAATTAAATAAGTGGAGAATGGCAAAATTATTTAATCCTGTACAAAAGTCACGATGGTGTAATAAGAAATTTGTAATCTCGATGAAAAATACGCTCGAGTACTTTGAACACATATCGTGACGACGGACAACGATCGTCGAATAAAAACAAAGAAAATTGATTACTGTAACTATATCCTTAACAATGATGATGATAGCATGCTCTTCCTGACGTCTTTCTCGCCAATCGCGTATTATACATTTCGTGAAATTTTCTACAGGCGCGCGCGCTACGTTCTTTAAATCTACGCTCCTCTACGAAGAGTCTCACTGAGAGAAAATCGATTGCACCTTCGATTGCGCATATAGATCAAACTGCGATATTAAAAAGAAAGGTGCATGCATATTGCATTAAGGCAAATTGCTATTTCCTACGAATTAACCGGTTATATTGATCCGCGTCTATATTTTTGCAATGACGACATTTCTGACAGGTGAATTTATTAAAATGGATTATACTTTCATTTTTTGCAGCAATAATCTTTATTTTTCTTCTTTTTTTTTTACAAAAACACTACTTGGCACAGCTAATAGTTTATATATTAAATATTTTGCATATACGAGAACAATCGACATTAATAACGAGCACGATTGTCACTCTTCTACAGCAGAATGCTCTCACATCCGAACTAATTGCAGGAAATTATCGTTATCTTAATTAATTAAGGCAACTTCAGCGTAATTAAAACTTCTTTTCTCTCAGTGCGTGTAACCGAGCGCCGAAAGTGACAACGATGCAACAGTGTGTGGAAGTAATAATAAGCCGTCAAGTGTAGGTAAGCTCTACTTTACAACAATTGTGTGTGATCGTAAGAAACTGAGAAACCTAGAAACACAAAACGAAAAACACTCACGCAATCAACGATCTCTTTTCGAAAGAACTCGTCTCTCTCTCTCTCTCTCTTTCTCTTTTTCTTTTTTTTATTCGCGTTACTTCTCGTTCCGCGCGCGTGATCGATAATAATCAATCCAACAACAACAACAGGGCATGTCGTATTTATGCGACCTATGGAGAGGTGTGATACAGTAGCAGTATTAATAATAATAAGAATCATTATAGTTATAGATCGTAGTAGTAAGTATTAGTGTTAGTAGTGTGTGATAACTGACAATACAAATATATCTTCTAAACCTAGGATGCACCGGGAGGAAGTCGGGGGAGATTCGGAGTGAGGAGGAAGGGAGGATGAGATGATGAGGGGGTTTTTAGTCCCGGGTTGAGAAATACACGAGGATAAGGGTCGAGAAATCCGAAAGCTATAGTTTCCCAGAATCCTCGGGCTATACTCTAGAGGCGTAGTGCCCCGATCAACGATGTCTTTTCTCTTTCTCTAATACTGTGCAAGTTTTTCCGACTTTGATCTGCGGGGAGGATCGGGATGAGACCTCTGGACTTTGTTTTCTTTTTTCTTTTTTTTTTTATCAGAAAGACATTAACTAAACTCTGATATGTAGGTAGACGTTGGGCGAGGGTCACCTATGTGTTCTTCCCGAATCTATTTGCGTTAACCCAAGATTTTTCTGCGCACAAGTCATAACGTTAAACGCGGCTGTCAGATAGAATCCAGAGAATGCTTGTTTTACGTTTACGAGCTAGAAAGTATCTATCCATACAAACCTCAGTGGGGTGGATGTCATTCGATACTCGCGTTGCAACAATGATATCGTATTTATTCTTAATTGATTAATTATTCTTAATTAAATTTCCTAATTATTCTTAATTAAGTAATTCTTATCACGTGATCCTTTCTATATCGTCTGATTCGTAAAATTCAGCAGGGAGAAAAAATAATCTCTATACGTAGATATCATATATCTTTTTCAGGATCACCGTGATTGATCCCTACACAACATAGTTTTCCAAGGGACGTCTAGAGACGTCCCTTTAGATAAAATATATTATGCGGGGATCTTGATGTTCTTCCCTTTTTTTTTTTTTTTAATCAAATATGGAGACGCGAAAGACAGCCGCATCTATCGTTAAACGAGCCACGTGAACACGGGCCGCGGACTCCCACACTAAATAGCGTTTTTTTTTTTTTTTCTGCAACATATATGTCAATACTTTACTGACGTCGGTATTTTGCAACGATTTTGAACGATGTGACGCTTCGCAAACAACGAGTCGAAGATATGTAACGCCGACTACAAGAGATATAGCTTTCCTCACCCCGCACACGCACACGCACCCTCTCATTCTCCGTTCCCTTACGTTTTCTCAGCCTTTCTCTCTCGCACGCTCGTCCCATGCGATCCAAAACACGCCAGGCAGCCGAGACAAATCACCTGTCAACGCTCGCAAGCCCTGTATACGTAATGACACGACGAATGCAGCCTATATAAAGTATAAGTATCTCTTATATATTTATATATATATACTTACAGTGTAATTGTATGTTGTATACAAGTATGTATATATACGCATACGTATGCGTATGTTACGTATCGCCGGCCTACAGCAGGTGTTTTATTTCGTCTCTCATTACGAAAGTAAGTCTCTCCTTTTAGCCTCCATTCACTCTGTCTCTCTCGCATTCTCTCTGTCTCTCGCTCTCGCTCTCGCTCTCTCTCTCTCTCTCTCTCTCTCTCTCACCTTTCTCTCTCCGCACGTCATGCTCAAAGTGTGTTTTCCGTGTGAACGTGTTTGGCTGTTAAGTGTG